CGGACCTGTCCTTTCAGCCTCCACAACCGTTTGCACTACAGCTTGCCTGTGTTACGTCCCCGACCTCCTCGAATCCCTGCATGCCTCGAGCGTGCCCTCGGGCTGGGCAGGGTGAAACACACTGAGGCCGCAGCCTCCGGCCCACCACACAGTGGAACCTGAGCACGTCACCCTCTTCTGTTCCTTGAACCATAAGCTTGTACATTAGAGTCATGTGTCTCATGTGTTCAAGAACATCCAAACGGGCTGGAGAGGTGGCTCAGAGGTTAAGAGCACTGCCTGTTCTTCCAGAGGTCCTGAGTTCAATTCCCAGCAACCACATGGTGACTCACAGCCATCTGTAATGAGATCAGGTGCCCTCTTCTGGTGTCCAAGCATAGAGCACTATATGCATACATAATAAAAATTTAAAAAAAGACAACATCCAAACATTGGGCTCAGAGGGTAAAGGCGCTGGCCACCAAGCCTGACCACCTAAGTTCGATCCCTGACACCTACACCGTGAGAGGGAGAACCAATTCAAAGTAGCCCCTGGCTTTCACGTGTGCCATGGCTTGTACATACCCACACAATTATGAAAAAACAACCGTAATCTTAAAATAATCATTTAAAAACCCGAAGAGGGCCAGTGAGATGGTTCATCTGGTAAAGGAGCCTGCCAGCAAGTCTCAGCAGGGTTGGAGTCACAGGACCCACATGGTAGAAGTTGTCTCTGACCTCCACAAGCCTGCCATGACACACGCCACCCACTCCAAATAAATAAAACCTTCTCCGTTTGGTTTTTTTTGAGACAGGGGTCCCTCTATTATGTAGTCATGGCTGTCCTGGAAACTGTGTAGAATAGTCTTGTCTTGAACTCCACGTGCGTACACACACACACACTCACATACACGTACACACACCACTGCAAACATCCAGGTCCCCACTCACCCTGGCTGTATTGCACCCTGACCTTTCGCGCTCACACACACACACACACACACACACACACACACACACACACACACACACACACGCACACGTGCACACGCACGCACACGCACACATACATGTACACATACACACACCACTGCAAACATCCAGGTCCCCACTCACCCTGGCTGTATTGCACCCTGACCTTTCGCGCTTCCCTACCCCTTGCTACATTGCTGGCATCTCACACATGCCATGCGGTGCAGACTTTGAATAACCGGGAGAGCTGCCGTTAAGCCCAGAACTCAGGCGATGTTTATGGTGGGAGCCACGTGTAAGGTACCAGGGATCTTCACTGCTAACATCCCATTTCCCATCGCAGGCCATCTCCTCATCTCTATGTGGGGAATTCCAATCAGGTTCCGCCTCCACAAAGGCCTGCAGCTCCCCCGGCCCCCCCCCAAAGCTCGGGTGTGTCCATGCTCCACCCCATATGCCTGCTTTTTGACCAAGATTGCAAGGTTGGGGGTATAGTGTAACAAAGAAGCGTGGACAATTGGAGGCCCTGAACCTAACTACCGGAGACTATTTTCAATTAAAGAATGTAATTAACAGTCCACCAAGCAGTGCCCTTCTGAAGAGGTCCTTCCAGACTTGTTCTAATGAATCACCAAGCCACGGGTGTATTCCTGGCGCTCAAGTCTGGAGGCTCGGCCAAAGGCCTCCAGAGTAATTAGTCTACTTAAGCAGGCTAAATGGTTCCCTAGCAATCTGGTTTAGGCTTCAATGGGTTTCAAGCCTTAGAGAGTGAGAAGTCACATCAGCCGGCGCTCAGGGGAAGGAGTCCCATGTCTCAGATTCAATCCACACCCTCTGCCCTTCGCTTCCACTAAGTCTGGTGACCCCGTGTGGGGCCTGCTCTCCCTAGCTCCACTAAGGTCCTTTCCTGAAGGACATGTCAGGACTTTGGGAGACACCAAGCAGTCTCTATGCAGAGGCCCCCGGACCTCCCTCCCAGGAGTTGATGGAGGGGGATGAGGAGAGGCCAAGGCCTCAAAGCCAACCCTTTCCTGTCTGACCATTAGTTTACTTTACAGCAGAGGGAGCAGACCCAACCTTCAGCCTGCTCGGGCAGCCTGGACAGTCACAGGGAGTCCCTTCAGTAACAGGCCAAAGAAACTGCATGTTCCTGCCACAAAAGAAAACAACTCCCCCCCCCCCTTCAGCCCTGTGCTTTCAAGAGGCAGGAGGAACAGCTTTTGTGTCAAACAAGGAAGACAGGTGCTCGTGGGCCACTAGCTTCCACGGTCACCTCGTTCTTCCCCGCTGGGAGCTCAGTGAGGGGAGAGGAGGCCAAGCTGGGAAAGACAGCAGCTGCCATTGGTTAGCAGCCTGCCTAGGTCTGAATCCCATTCCTAAACTGTTCGGTTTTATACTATATATCGTATGTATGTACGTATGTATGTACGTATGTATGCATGTATTTTGAGACAGGGTTTCTCTGTGTAGTCTTGGATACCCTGGAACTCGCTCTGTAGACCAGGCTGGCTACAAACTCACAGAGATCCTCCTGCCTTTGCCTCCTGGGTACTGGGATTAAAGGCGTGCGCCACCACTGCCCAGCTCAAAAAGCTATTTTAAAATATTTTAATTATGTATATGTGTGTATCTGTGTGGGGCACCCATATAGGGCAGAAGATCCTTTGGAGCTGGAGTTACAGACAGTTGCGAGCTGCCTGGTGTGGGGGCTGAGAACCGAACTTGGGGTCCTCTGTGAGGACAGAGGGAGCTCCTAACCCGCTGAGCCGTCTCTCCAGCCCCAGGTTCTGTCTTGCTCAGGGGCCCCTTCCTTCTTCGTTTGGCTTCCAGTCCACCATGAGGCGAAATGGCCTCTTCCTTCAAGCGCTGCTGTTCTTGGCAGAACAGGAGGGGCAGAGCAAGCCTGAGTTGAACCATCTAAAACCATGAGCAAAAATAAAGACCTCCTCCCTGAAGGTTGACTTCCTCAGGTACATGAGACATTTACGCAGCAGAGAAGTGGGCCACGGCCGTGACTAACAGACCCTACGATGGTTCTTAAGGCTTTGGAGCTGGCTTGAGGGAAGGAGCTGGAAATGACACAACAGGTAACAGCAGCCTTAGGATGCTGTAGACAGAGCTTAACTGGCCGTTCTGGTGGAAGCCCAGAAGACCTACAGCGATGCGAGCAGCGGAGGCCAGGTTCGTAGGATTCTGGACAAGAAGCCATTCACAGCCTGTTCTGGCAAAGACTTGGGGGTATATCTTATCCCTGCTCTGAGATTTCAGAAAAGGCTGGGCGTTGCGGAATCATCACTTTAACTAGGCAAAGATGTGTTGCATTCGCTCATGCTGTGGAATATGACTTTAACTGTGTAAAAGTGCCTTATACGTGTTCATGTGGCGTTTGTTTAACAATGTAAGGATGTGTGTGCTTAATTATGAAAAGATGTGTTGCATTTGCTTTACCTCGCAGGCCTGAGGCACCCGATTGGTCTAATAAAAAAAAGCTGAACGGCCAATAGCTAGGCAACAAAAGGATAGGCGGGGCTGCCAGGCAGAGAGCATAAGGAGGAAGAGAAGTCTTGGAACCAGAGAGGAACAGGGAGGAGGGAAGAAGGGAGATGAGGGGGACACGTCTGGGACAAGAAGCCAGGCAGCTGCCGGACAGACACAAGGATGAGTGAAAGTAAGACAGACAGAAGGAAAGAACAGTGAAAAGCCCCGAGCCTAAGAGAGAGGCCGGGTGGGCCGCAGGCAGCAAGGGCCTGAGAGGGGGCTCTTGTTAGGGTGGGCATCGTGACAGCAGCGCACCCACGGGCGCGGAGCTGCAGGACCTAGTGGTGGCCCTGCTTTGGTCTGCACCGTTTCTGCTGTTCTCCCATCCCTCCATTTTGAAATGGGAATGTGTACTCTGGGCCACCGTTTATCTTGGAAACGTTTAACTTGCGTTTTGTTTTGTTTCCCCAGAAGAGTTTACAGCTAAGAGTTGCCTTGAATCTCCTGTTGGGACTGTTAAGAATATGGAGACTGCCGGGCGGTGGTGGCGCTTGCCTTTAATCCCAGTACTCGGGAGGCAGAGGCAGGCAGATCTCTGTGAGTTCGAGACCAGCCTGAGCTATAAGAGTGAGTTCCAGGACAGCCTCCAAAGCCACAGAGAAACCTTGTCTCAAAAAACAAAAACAAGACAAAAACAAGACATGGAGACTATGGAGAATGAACTAAATACATTTTGTATTATGAGATAGTTGTGAGCCTTTGGGGGTTGGGATAGATTTTCAGGAATTAATGCTGTCTGTTTAACTGGATTGAGAAGCATGTAGGTGATAAACAAAGCACATTCCTTCCCCTTTCTCCTCCTCTTCCATTGGTACAGGGTCTCTTTGTAGTCCTGTCCTGAAACTCACTATGTAGACCAGGCTGGCCTCGAACTCAAGGAGATTCTCCTGTCTCTGCCTCCCAAGAGTGCTGAGATTAAAGGTGTGCACCACCACAAAACACATTTATGTGTGGGAGAGGGTTTCCAGAGATTATTAGTTAGATCATGAAGGCTCTGATCTAATGAATGGGTTGTTTTTCTTTTTAATGAATGGTTTAACCCCCTGCATTCAGATTCTTCATGGAATGACTGGGCTGTGGGGTCGGAGCAGAGGAATCAGGTCAGTGGGGCCATGTCCCCTGGTGCTCTGTCCTCCCCAGGCATTCCCTCTGTCCTCTGCTTCCTGTCTTCCATGAGGTGAACAGCCCCCCCACACCTCATGCTCCCCCAACCGAGTTGCATGGAGCCAAGCAACAATGGCTAGACCCTCCAAAATGTGAGCCAAAGCCGGCCTTTCTCCCTGCAAGCTGTTGTCAAGTTACACAAAGCAACCAACACCGTCGCATCTCCGCTCTGGGCGGAGCCACAGGAGGGCAGGCACAGCCTGCTCCGTCTTCGGTCTCGGCAGCCTCCGCTGGCCCCGCCTCCAGCGTTCCAGACTACAGGTTGGCGGGCCTGCCTGCCGGGGTCCACTCTGCGGCGGGCAGCAGCAACGCTGGTGCTTTCAGGGTGGACAAGGGGTGACACTTACCTCCCGCCATTGTTTGTTCTCCATCCCTTGAGTGTACATGACACACACTGGGGACGAGAAGGGAAAAACCACGGGTTAATGTCTCAGTCCAAGAAGGCTAGATCATTCTGTGGGGTCTGGGGAAAGGGTGGGTGTCTGCTCAGGCAACTGGGGTCTTGGTGAGTAGGGGTTAGGCTGGCCTCCAAGCCTAGACCACAACTGTTTTGTTGTGGCAGTACTGAGATTCCCCCCCGACCCCTAGATCCTGGGACAAGTGCCCTGTCACTGAATTACATCTCCAGTCTCGCAATGGGTCTCTCTCCCCACGAATAACACCCGGCGGTTGGCTTGGCAAAGGGGCCTGGGAACTGAGCATGTCTTTTGGGAGGGAACTCAAGGGTTGTCAATTTCTACAACACAGAAAGGGTCTGGGAGTGAGGCGGGTGGACAGGTGGGCATGGCAGAGGACTCAGTGGCAGGTGCAGTGAGGACAGCACCTGAAACTCATTGTCCCTGCAGAGCCTATTACTGTCACCAGATCCTTTTTTTTTTCCCCGAGATAGTGTTTCTCTGTAGTTTTGGATGCTGTCCTGGAACTCTCTTTGAAGGCCAGGCTAGCCTTGAACTCATGAAGATCCACCTGCCTCTGCGTCCTGAGTGCTGGAATTAAAGGCAGCTCACCAGATCCTCTTTATTGATGGGAGGAAACTGAGGCTCTTAGGAGGCCAAAGGACCCATCGAAGGTCATGCTCATGGCCAGCACTGCTTAGGACTACAGCCCAGCACTCCCAAACCTATGCTCATCCTCCCAGACAACAGCCAATGTAAATGTACCAGTTCCCACGGGGACGGAGGCCTATTGTCTCAGACACCCCAACCCATCCCAGGCTGCTCTGAGGTGCTGAGACCTCACAAGTATGGGTGCAGAGTGTGGCCAACTCCCCAGTTCTTCTTGGACACCACCAGTGTAGCGCTCGCCAATCCTGACTCACTGGCCCCCATGCCTGCATAGCTCCAACACTCAGTAAGAGCTGCTGGTGGCCTCTGTCACTAGTCACCAGGCCACTATGTCACTGGGATGGCTGATGCTGTCAGAGCAGGACTTACATGGGTCAGACTTGGAAAACATGTCTTTGTCCAAGAGGTTCCTGAAAGAGGGGAAAAAGAAGAAATTAGCAGGAATGGAAGGGACAGATGTCAGGGCCTAAGCCTGGTGCTGAGCCTGGAGATGGTCTCTGGCCCGGCCTCAGACACACTGGAAAGGGAAGACATGTCCCTCAGCACACTTGAACAGCTTCATTAAATTCCAGGAACCATGCAGGGTGCCACATGTCTGTGACATCAACACTCCTGTGGAGGAAAGAGACAGGAGACTAGGGAGTTCAAGGCCAGCCTGGGGCAATATAGTAAATTGGAATAGCCTGAAGCCACTCCAGTCCCTGCTTTCCTAAAATTCGAAGTGCTCCCCAACCACAGCACAGCCACAACTTCTCCAGATGGCACCATGGTGCCCTGGACCCTGGTGTTTCTCATTATTTCAGTCAGCCTCAGATATCAGCCCGTCTCAGACATTTCCTTGTTATGGAATATTATTTTAACTGGACAAAGTTATGCTACATTTGTTTCTGCTGCCTTTGTTAACAATGTAAAGAAGTGTTATATTTGATTCTGCTGCCTTTGTTAACAATGTAAATGTGTTACATTTGTTTCTGCTGCCTTTGTTAACAATGTAAAGAAGTGTTATATTTGATTCTGCTGCCTTTGTTAACAATGTAAATGTGTTACATTTGTTTCTGATGCCTTTGGGGTTTTTTGTTTGTTTTTGATTTTTTGAGACAGGGTTTCTATGTATTACTTTGGAGCCTGTCCTGGAACTCCTTTGTAGACCAGGCTGGCCTTGAACTCACAGAGATCCTCCTGCCTCTGCCTCGCAAGTGCTGGGATCAAAGGTGTGTGCCACCAACACCCGGCATCTGATGCCTTTGCTAACATTGTAAATATGTTACACATTTGTTTGTGCTGCATTTGTTAACTGTATAAAGATGTGTAGCATTTGTAGCAAATAAAATTATAACCTGGGCTCAGAGAGGCAGGGTTAGCAACTGGTTAACAGGAAGTAGCAGGGAGGAGCTTAGTGTGGTTCTTTTTAGTTGGGGCTTTGTGGAAGGGAGTGGATTCAGGGACATCAGAAAAGAAAGTTAACCAGTTGCTGTCCTACCTCTCTGAGCTTACAGGTTTTCACCCTAGCCTTTGAATCTCGAGTTTTATTAGAACGATAAAGATTTAGTTAGAATTACCTTTAGCAGACAGCAACTGAGCCACTGTCTGGGGAACAGAATCCTGCCCTGGCTATGGCCTTAGTGGCCGGGTGCTAGTAGTTTAAAGAACAGCCACTGTAACACATGACCCACCAGAAAATGTCTGTTTAGTCTCTGGTCTCCCAGGATGCTTCTCCCAGCCTGCTGATTCCCTCGTCTAGAGCATACGGAGGAATTAGTGAATGACTCCTCAAAGGGGACACAGATTCATTTGAACAAGATCAGAGCTGAGGTGAGGTCGGGTGTGGTGAGCCACATCTATAATCCAAGTACTTGGGGGGGGGCTGAGGCAGAAGGACCCAGAGTTCAAGGCCAGTCTAGGAGGGTACAGGGTGAAGCAAGCCTCTAATCCCAGCACTCAGGATGTAGGGGTAGGGAGATGAGGAGTTCAAGGTCATCCTCAGCTACACAGTGAGTTTAAGGCTAGCCTGGGCTACATGAGACTCAACTTCAAACAAATAAACAGCTCACTCATGGATCCAAGACTTGGGCTGGAAAAGGAGGTATTAGGCTTGAATCTCCATGCTGCTCAGATTCCCAACATGCTATGTGGTCGGACTGGGTGGTGGTGTCCCAGTTGAAAGGTAGAAGCTGAGGCTGGGAAATGTGTCCTAGGGAGTGTTATCACTCCACAGGTGCCATCAGGAAGCTACATAGCCCAGCACAGACTGTCTCCAATGGGTGGGGGATCCATCCTTTCTGTCCTAGAGGCTGTCACCATCGCCTTTCACCTGAGCCCCTGGAGCTCTAGAACGCAGGGGCTGGACTCCACAATCACCGGCTCACTTCCAGACAGGAGCGGAAAGGCCTACCGCCAGGGACAGTGCAGCCAAAGACAGCAATAGCTAGGGAATGAATGCACGGCCAGCCTCCACCCTCCATGATGACACCCTCCCTGGTGACAGCCTCCTATAGGCTGAGGGGACAAAGCTTGAACAGATTCCTCCAAGGTGTGAGTCTCATCCAAGTTTGGGTGTGGGGCTCAGGTTTAGTCATTTCTAGACTGGCGAGAAAAGGGGTGCCCCTAGGCTTCAGCCTAGGAGCGAGATGGGGAAAGGGAGGGGGCAGAGGCGGGAGGATCGACAAGCGCAGTTATCCACTTTGTAGCTGGGCCACAGGCACACAGTTAGACTAAGAATCAGAGCCCAGGTTGGCTCAGTAGCACAGTGCTCACCTGACATGCACACGGCCCCGTGTTCAACCTACAGTGCTGCACTAAACCAAGGACTAGCACATGGCTCCTAGCTCTGGCGGCTCCCTGCCCCATACTTAAAAGACTCTCGATAAGCCAGGGACAAGAGTCACCGTGGTGGCCAGCACCCGAAGATAACACAGCCCCAGTACTCCATGCTACTGACATTGTCACCATACTTCCTGAAGATTCCTGTCCTTCCTTCTTGATGCCACTCTCCTGAACCTGGACCCACCACCTGGTCACCCTCCCCCAACTCTCTCTGGCCGGGAAGACACAGTATAACATGGCCAGGCAGTGGATGGGTACTCCTGCACACCCTACACCGCTTTGGACCCCTCCAGGGAAGGGACTGCCCCTCAGTCCCCCCAAGCCCTGCGTCAGCAGAACACAGCCTGAATGCTGAGGAAGGCCGGAACCAGTGCGCAGGGGCCGAGGATCTCGCCCAGCTGGAAGAGGGTCTGCCCAGAAAATGCAAAGCTATGGGCTTGACCCCCAGCACTGGCATAAACCAGGTGTGGTAACACACACCGGTAATCCCAGCGAGCGGACTTCCATAAACTGGAGGCTATCCTGGGCTACAAAGGGAAACCCTGTATTTAAATCAGGACAGGACAGCAAGCGCTGCTCAGGGCAACACTCAGTACCTTCATACTCCCCCTTAGCTACAGACAGACAAACTGCATCGGATCCCACCTCTGCACAGGTGGCCGGGCTACTTCATGCCTCAGTTTCCCCGGTGCTATAAAACGGGGCTTGGTATAGTCCAGCGCTGCTCAGATCAATACATGTGTATTGCCTGGGTCTGACAGGTAAGTCCCTCAGGCTCACCGGTGAGAGAGGGAGCCATAAGCCACCTCCACCCTTCCTGGTCCAAGAAGCCAGGCCCAAGCCTGACCTGCAGGGGGGCACTGCATATCTCATCATCTCAGATGGACCCCCCAGCTTCGGCTGCTCCTCCTGTCCTCATTGGCTGTGAGCACCCTCACCTGGGCTCCCATCCTGATCCCCCTGACACCACCCATTGTCCCACTTTGTCCTTGTGCCCTTCAACCCCGTCTCTTACTTGATAGAAATGTGGGGGGAGGGCTCCTGAGAAGTCTGCAGCACTGGTTAGCGGGGCCTCTCATTCCCTGGGGCTCACTTTAGTTCCCAGGGGTAAAAAGGCAGGTTCTTGGGGACCTCCCCAGCATCTGGCTTTGTAGGTCTGGAGTAGGGACTGAGCTGGCATTTAGCCGGCCCTGACCCTCTCTTGGGTTTCTGACATAGTTACTCAAAATAGGATCTTGGGTCAAAATCCTCTGTCTCAGCACCTCAATGTCCCCCTGGACATCAAAGACCCCAGGGCACGTTCGGCCCCCGAGAATCCCTCACAGTTGCCAGGTCCTCACTGACCCTCACCTACCGCACTGAGCACTCCTGGCTCAGACAGAGGGAACAGCCTGGCCAGACGCACACAGGCAGAGCATCCTGGGAGACCCAAGCCCTCAGCCCCAAGCGGGGCCCCAGCCACCAGGGCACTGACCAGACCAGACTAAACGAGACCTCACAAGTGTTTTCCTCTGCTCTCTACTTTGGGAAAGCTCAAAGAGTAAAAAAAAATCCCCCAACAGTCAAAATGTATTTTCCCCCCAAAAGAGCATAAAAGCCTTCAGCTGTCTGCTCAGCAGCCTGGAGCCTCTTTTGTTCCTTAAACCGAGGCTGGGAAAGCAGAGCTAAGGCCCTTCGCTTCCTGCCACCCCCAAGGACTCATTTCCAACTCAGGAGGCAGGGAGAAACAGTACCAGGCTGTGAGGCCAGGCACCTCTGAGGCTCCAGCGGAAGGTGATAGAGGACCCCCTACAGGGACCTGGGGGTGACACTTCCCAGCAGAGAGGCCCAAGGGAAGTGGGCTGGGGCTGAGACAGAGTTCCAGTCTGAGAGGGTTGCCCCTGCCCTTGCCTGAGCTGTGAGCAAGGTAACTACGCCCCCTGGTTCTCTCTCACGGATACACCACACTTGCACTTGGCTGAGAAAGGGCATTACGAGCCTGTACTTCAGTTATTCCTAGCCCAGGGCCCTCAGTGGGGACCGTGGGCCCCTGAAACTAAGCAGACAGATGCTGGTCCCTGCGTGTTAGATGCAGGTTGGTGGCTGCTGCTGTTGTCATCCGATCCTCGAAAAAAACCATGAGACTGCTAAAGTTAGGAGAAGGCTAAACCTGGCAGCCCAGGCCTCATAGCCGCAGCCATCTGCAATGCCGAGGCAGGGGAATCACAAGCTCAAGGCCTGCTTAGGCGGGAGATCCGGAGCGCAGCCAGGATGAGACCAGCCTCTGGTGCTAGGGACAGATGAACAGACACCCGGTGGCAATGACAGACCCACAGAGAGCCCTAGGACTGGAGAGCTTATGGGTATCACCTTGTTTTTCCAAAACCAATTTCATGCCAAACATCTAGTCAATGGAGGCGGACGAGGGGTGACCATTCACACAACCAGCCAGGTCCTTTGCGGTACTCAACCTGGGACATTCAACCGACCCTGTGTCCCAACACCAACAGGTACCTGTTCACATCCCTAGAAGGGACAGGTCTGACCTCTGAGGTTCCCGTCATGGGGACTGCCCAGGAGCACCAGTGAAACAAAACTTGGGATTTCC